GCCATTGGTGCTGCCTTAGCATCTTTCCTCTTTACTATAGCAACATGTTTTACACAAGGCAAATTCCCCATGTGTTCCAGGAGCTAGTACTGTGATTCTCTCCTTTTCTCTCTTCCTTTTCTTGTCCTCCAACTATTGGAAACACATAGTTGACTCCAGTGCATTTTGTATAAAGTAGACTGGCCTAACCTCTGGTTATTTAGCAATTATTTCACTTGGTATATAGTTAGAGAACAGTATACAGTGGGGCCTTGACTTACGAGTTTAATTCGTTCTGAGACCGAGCTCATTAAGGAGCTCGTTAACTCAAATTACTCTATCAACTCAATGCAAAAAATCGGCCGAGACACAGCTGGTATCTCAAAAAACTCATTAGTCGGGACACTCGTAAGTCAAGGCCCCACTGTAATTGTAAAGGATAGTAATATTTCTGTGTCTTAGAATTTTAATATTTAAAATTATAAATAACTTCACTGAGGTAAGTTTTAAAATGAAATGCACTCATTAAAAAGAACAGTTAAGTTTTGACAAGTGTAGACATCCATGTAACCACTACCACAATCAAGATACAGAATATTATCACCCCAAAACTAGAATATGATTTTTAAAGTTTCTTAGAAATCAAATGAAACTTGCGTATGTAATCAAAAGTCTTTTTTTAGGTGATGTGTCAGTGGATGGAAAAGTTCAGAAAAGATCTGTGCAGGTTCTGGAACAGTGTTTTCCCGGTATTCTTTATGTTTCTGAACATCATGGTGGTTGGAATTATAGGAGCAGCTGTGGTAATAACCATCTTAAAGGTGCTTTTCCCAGTTTGTGAATACAAGTAAGTATTTTTTACTTTTGAAACATGAGTATTTTTAGTGATTAATAACTGGGTTGTAGTTACTTTATATTTTTTGCTTTTTAAAAAATTTTGTATTTTTCAATTACAGTTGACATTCAATATTATATTAGTTTCAGATGTACTGCATAATGATTAGACTTTATATAACTTGCAAGGTGATCCTCCTAGTGAGTCCTGTACCCACCTGACACCATAGATAGTTATTACAGTATAATTTACTATATTCCCTATGCTGTACTTTTCATCCCGGTGACTATTCTGTAACTACCAATTTGTACTTCTTAATCCCTTCACCTTTTTTCACCCATCCTCCCAAAAGTCCCTCACATCTGGCAACCATCAGTTTTTTCTCTGTATCAGTTTGTTCTGTTTTAATTATAGTATTTGTAGATTGCACAGTAGTTATCTTTGTCTGTCTGGCTTATTTCATTTAGTGTAATACCCTCTAGGTTCATCCATGCTATAGCAAATGGTAAGATTTCATTCGTTTTTAGGCTGAGTACTATTCTGCTGTATAAATGTACCACATCTTCTTTATCCATTTGTCTATCAGAGGACACTTAGGTTGCTTCCATACCTTGGCTATTATAAATAATGCTACAGTGAACATAGGGAAGCATATATCTTTTTGAATTTGTGTTTTGGAGCTCTTTGGATAAATACCCAGAAGTGGAATTGCTGGGTCATATGGTAATTCTACTTGTAAATTTTTGAGGAACTTCCATACTGTTCTCCATAGTGGCTGTACCAGTTTACATCCCCACTAACAGTGCACGAGGAGTTCTCTTTTCTCCACCACCTCATCTACACTTGTTTGTTGAGTTATTGATGATAGCCATTCTATCAAGTGTGAGGTGATATCTCATTTTGCATTTCTCTGACTAGTGATGTTGAGCATCTTTTCATAAGTCTATTGATTATCTATCTGTATGTCCCCTTTGGAGAAAAGTCTGTTCAGATCCTCTGCCCATTTTTTTTTAATCAGAGTCTTTGGGTTTTGGTGGGGTTTTTTTGTTGTTAAGCTCTATGAGTACTTTAATGTATTTTGGATATTAACCCCTTATCGGATGTATCATCGGCAGATATCATCTTCCATTCATGTTAGTTCCAATAATGCTGTAGTGTTCATTTGTTAATGTACGTATATATCTTTACACATGTATATTTATGTGGAATAGGTTCCTAAAAATAAAATTACTGGATGAAAGAGTATATGCAATTAACATTTCCTCAACACTGGTAATAGTTTTTGCTGTGTGGCCAAAAATATAACCCATTTTAATTTATATTTTCCTCTTTTTTAAAAAAAAAAAATATTTTTATTGATTTCAGAGAGGAAGGGAGAGGGGGAGAGAGAAACATCAATGAGCTCTAGCCAGTTTGGGCTCAGTGGATAGAGCACTGACCTGCGGACCAAAGGGTCCCGGGTTCGATTCTGGTCAAGGGCACGTGCCTTGGTTGAAAGCTCCTCCCAGGCCTGGGCCCTGGTCAGGGGGCATGTAGGAGGCAACCAATCAATGTGTTTCTCTCACATTGATGTTTCTCTGTCTTTCCCTCTCTCCCACTCTCCCTAAAAATCAATGGAACAATATCCTTGGGTGAGGATTAACAACAACAAAAATTAGAAATATCAGTGATTAGTATCTTTGATCGGCTCTCTCATTCATGCCCCCTACTGGGGATCAAGCCCCAACCCGGGCATGTGCCCTGACCAGTAATTGAACTGTGACCTTCTGGATCATAGGTGGACACTCAACCACTGAGCCACACTGGCCAGGCTGCATTTTCTTAATAGCATCTTTGCTAGTCTAAGTGTAGCTAAATCTAGCATCTTTGTGATAATTAGCTATATATATATATATATATATATATATATATATATATTCCTCCTGTGATGTCTGTTTATAGCATTTGCCTATTTTTTCAATTGCATTGCCTTTTATAATCATTAATATGTAGGGGCTTCTTTGTCTGTTATACATCCATAACATGTATTGCAGAAATACCTTTTTTTTTTTATCCCAGACTACAGTTTGTCTTTTGCTCTTGTGTATGGTATCCTATATCATATGGAAGTTTTACATTTGGAGTGAAAGCAATTCATGTTTTTCCTTTATGACTTCTAGGGTTTTTAATGTTCTTAAGTAGACCTTTCCTATCTTAAAAAAACATGTTTTCTTAAAACTTATTTATCATCACTTTTGTGTATAGTTTAAGCTAGAGTAGTAACTTGCCCATTACTTGGAATGTTAACTTACTATGAACTAAATTCCAGTAAACATTAGTCTTGTTTCTGGACTCTCTTCTTCCACTGATCTATTTAACTATTCCTATGACCACGGCAGTTTTGTTATGATGGTTTTTTCTTTGTTCTTACAATTCTGCATTCTCTTATTTTTTATTTATTGTTGATAATATTACAGATGTCCCCCATATTCCTCCCCTTGGCCCCCCTCAGCCCCTGTAATTATTATATTTCAATAAAATCTTTGTTAGCTGTTTAGGGCAGCTGTTTCTTCTCTCCACTGTTCTGTCCAAAAAATTGATACAGCAGTTCTTGCAGTTTCTCTCCTATGGACTTTATAATCAGCTTGTTCAGTTTTATAAACTAACTTCTGTTGATGGTTGAATAGGATGATATTGAACTTGCAGTACAGGTCTTGGATCCAATGCAAATATCCCCCCTCTGGTCAGGGATGTTAGTAGCAAAAGGAGAAATGCTGTCTAAAGATCTAAGGTTCCATTCAAGCAGTGAGTATTGTTTAGAAAGCTGCTTGGGCCTAGTCTTTTTGCCCAGCTTGTGCAAGTCTAGGGCTCTAACTACCTGTCTTGGAGATCTATTCTTAACACATTGTTTGTGGGTAGTTTTTATCGCGCGCTAACAGGTGGCACGGGCCATTTTTGCTAATTTTTTGAGCAAATGGCAACGTTCAGTAAAATTACGATAACTTTAGTTTACGTATTTATACGTTACCCGCATTCTACCGCTAGTCTATAAAAAACGTATTAATACGTGTCCCGCGCTCTACTACACTGGTAGAACGTATAAATACGTAAAACGTGTAAACATGTTTCCCGCATACAATGTGTTAATCCTTTCCTTTCCTACAGTACCAAGTAAGGAACTTCCTCTTAGACCTTTATATTTTCTCAGTTTGCTTAAAGTGAACTTTGGACTCAAGAGTTTATACAATCATTATAAACTAGATAAAATGAAGCAAAGCACCTAACCCCAGGTATATATTTCATTATAACTTGAAGTAGCCCTATCTTACTACCAATTTTAATCTTTATATTTCAGAGGAATTCTTCAGTTGGATAAAGTTAATATTATACCTGTGGCAGCTGTCAACTTATATGCAGATGGTCCTGAGAAAAGAGCAGAAATCCTTGAAGATAAAATATGTATTTGAAACACCACCTCAAATCATGGACTCTGAATTAGTTTATTGGCTCTAAATTTGCCACTTGAATGTTTCTTTAAATCATTAAGAATCAGTTTACACACTAGAGAAATTGCTCAACTCCTAAAACTTGACCTTTAAAATGTCAAGTTAAAGTTCACCTTATTCTTTAACAGGGCTGGCTATTCAGATGATGAATTGTTAAGGAAATTTTAAACAAAGTGGAAGAGAAGACAAGTGACGAAACTTTGAAATTACCAAAAGGAAAAATAATGGGCAAGACAAAATGCCATGTGCCAATACTTTACAAGGTGCCTTTGTTAAGGAAGTTATATCCACTTAATTACTATAATATATAAGACTATGAAAAGCACTTTATGAAATTCTAATTTAAAAACTCAAGAACTTAACACTTATTTTTTTATTCAGTCAAATGTGCCTTTATATTGTCTGTGACTCAGTATAAAAATCACTGAAGTGTATCATGATTTCATTGTACCAAGACCACTTGCCTTGAATGCACTAGGATTCAAAAATAATAGTGACATGTTCACAGTCTAAAATAAACGTTTTTTGAGGAAAAAATAGTCTTTTTGGCATAAAAACTTTACCCAAGCTCGAATTATTTCTGTATAATAGCTGCTTCACGTACACTGGCTGAAACCAACATTCAAGTCAGTTAAAAGGACCGTCAGTATCATGGAATTAGAATATACCTTATGGTTCTAAGTATAGGACTGTTTATTCTACAGTAATGTTTGCCTTTTTTTTTCTTTTTTTTTTAACCATTACCCTATTGACTTATATTTTACAGTGTGACCTAGTTCATATAGTACTTATCTTTACTCCATGTGATAGATACCTTCTATTCTGTTTTATCAGTAAGGTTTTTATTGCAACCCATCATTTTAAACACATTGTCCAAGAAAGTTATGGCAAGTTTTTAAAGCCACTTTATGTGTAGGCTAAATAGATACGGATGTATGGGAGAAGCATGGCAGTAGAGAGTAAAGGAGAGATGCTTCATTTTGCCTGTTTTTAATAATAACAGCCCTGTGAAATGTACTATCTCCATATTATAGAATAAATAATAGCATATAATGTAGATCTTAAAGTCACCCAGTTGGTCACACTATTTTCTGTCCTTCCTCACTAAGTTGCTAGAAATGACCAGTTCTGACTCCAAATGATGACAGGGTCTTATTTCATCCATTCAGCATAAGCTTGTAGACTGTGGTGAGAACAATGTAGAAGGCTACATGGCCAATTGGAGTGCACAGGCTTCGCAGTCAGTAGATCCCTATCCTGCCTTTTCTCCTTACCAGTGGGAGGGACCACAGCAAGGCACTCCGGCTTCTTGAGGCTCTGTTTTCTATGTCTGGGATGATACAATAAGTTTTTTGTTTTTTTTTACAAGTAATCATAAATAGAAATCTTATTTAAAATTTTATACCATTAACTTGTATTTCACTTTTACTTACATCATCAACTGTTAATTATGTTTAGTATCCTGAGTGAGTGAGTTTCATTAGAATACAGTGAGCAGCATAGGCTTAGAAGTATCTACTTGCCTGTAGTGCAGCCTCTCTTATGTAGGCAGAATAAAGTCAGGCAAGGATGTATATAGATACATGTTTTTTCATTTTAAATGCATAGTGAAATGAAGGATCTTTAAAGATCTCCCAGGAAATGGAGGGAAGGTACCATAACACAGGCAGGAAGACACACTGGGCTTGGTTCATGTTTCAATTGGCTACTGTGTAAAAATGTTCCGGAATTTTCAGTTTTCCACTGGCACCCAAGGAACTAGAGCCAGTCTTACCACCTAGAAGAAAGAGCAGCCATGGAGGTGGAAGATGCTATACTTACAAGTGCATATAAAGACAGTTTTCCAAACTAAGTAACAGAGACTGTATTACAACATTTGTAGTAAGTGAAAGAAATCAGGCAATGCTAAAGTAAAACAAATTGCTTACAGCTTTAAAAAATTGCCTTTATTCAGAATCATACGGTTTTTTAAAAAAAATCTTACCATTATGAAAGTTTAAAAAAATATAGCACTCCGTGCAATGAAATACTACATTTAATTATTCAAACACTTAAGGCAGGTTTCTCACAGTTTACATGTGAGAATTAGCATGATCCAAATTCTAATATCCATTTCTCATATCTTTCAATGTCTGCAGCAGATACTGACTTAGAAACCTTTTTTAAAGCCATTTCAAAATCCTCCATAGTTGTGGGCATGTGCATTTCTTCTCTTGAAAGATTTCGGATTTCTTCTGGGGTCAAACCTTCAATACGCCTTCTCATTGCCATCAAGGATGCATCCCTAGGTTTTAAATTTTTTTAGAAAAATTGATATTCTGATTGAGTGAAAACCTATTAGCTAGAAAAATATATTTCCAACATGTCCAGGAAGGTGGTTTCTCCTCGTATTTCGTGCTTTTTTTTTTTTTAAAGGAGAAACTTTGGATTCAAGCACCTCTTTCACCAAATTTTATTCTTAATAGCAGCCACCATTTATGCAAAGGGATGGCAACATATGGCTACTTTTACACACCATCACTAATCCTCACAAGAGCCCTACCTGACAGGCTCACTTTTGAGAGGACGAGACTAAATCAAGCACCTTGCTAAATCATCTGAGTTAATACTTGGACTAGAATAAAATTCATGAATAAGCTGGATTAGAGGGGCAGTCTTTTCTCTTTTTTACTGCTATTCCTGTGACATTTAGGACATTTTCACTGAAAATGAGATTATACTCTACTTGGGTATGCCAAGTTAATTTATTTCACAATTCTGTTTCCTTCATGACAGTATACTAAACAACTGCACCAACATTATTTAATCCAAGACAATTACAGATTTTCTATTTTACACTCTTCGTTGTAACATTAGCTTCTTGAACTTGTAGTTTTCAAATGAACTGTAGACTTGATCTGTAAGATATACCGGTATCTTACTAGCACCTGCTAACACTAACTGAATACCAGAACTTGTGTCTTTGACTGTAAACTATAAAGTGTGTCTTTTTCTTAACTTGGCATGAAAACGTCATAAGTTTAGACCCACAAAAACCTATGCTTCCAAAATAATTCATACCTGCACACGTTGGTAATGTCGGCACCGGAATAGCCTTCCATATTTTCTGCTATACGTGTGAGGTCCACATCCTCAGCCAGTTCCAGCTCACGGAGGCTTATCCGCAGTAGCTCCTCCCTGCCTTTCGCTGACGGGAGGAACACATGTAAAATGTGAGTCTTCAACATAAACACAGTGTGTTATTCTTCCTCAAGCCCACTTTCTATGATAAGTTGTTTACCAGTTCTTAGAGCTCAGTTGCTTAACAATTTAAGAGCTATTCCTCACTGAATTTTACATTTCCTAATATCAAGGCTTTCGGGCTCTAGATATAGCCAAGCCAGTTAATATGAGGAAAAACATGCCACATTTGTCTCTTGAAAGAAAGTTAATAACAAATTTTAAAATTTCTAAGAAAAACTAAGAGTTAACATGAGCTTTCTGACAAGATTCACATGAAGATACCTGATGGTAATGGAATATAGATTCTTTTTTCAAGACGTCGTCTTAAAGCCTCATCAATATCCCAGGGAAAATTAGTAGCTGCCAGAACCATAACCATTTTGGAAGGATCATCATTTTCAGAAGCACCTCCAACACCTAAAAGAAGGGTAAGGGGAGAGTAAAATTATACTCAGATATATAAATAAAGCTCAACTACTTAAAGATCATCAAATGTTTAGCACAACATTACAAGGTAGTATAATCCTCTTTAAAACTTCTAAAACAAACTGGTATATACGTAAACTTCGGTCCAAGAAAAATAAGTTCTTGTAGTATGCAAATAATAAGACTCAAAACAGACTCAATCAAAAGACCAACTCAACTACATACCTTTTTTTTTTTTTTTAATTTCAAAAGCATACATATCCCTCTCAGGCAAATTTATCTGCATTTATTTCAATTGCATGGCTAAAAATAAGAGAACAGCATATATGCCAAAGGGTGCCTGTGAAGAGCCATCATTTCTGGCATGACTCCACTGTCAGTGTACCTAGTTAATGCTGTCAAACTCCAGCCCCCTTTAGTCACGGGGAGTTGTGTGGCCTAGCACCACGAGCAGAGCTTAGTCAATTCACGCATATACACATGCCTACCATCCATTTGAACCAGCAGCTCGGCTTTCACCCTCCTGCTTGCTTCGTGCTCTTCAGAAGTCCCTCTGCGACTACAAATGGAATCAATCTCATCAATAAATATGGTGGCTGGAGAATAAAATCGAGCCTAAAGAAAGAAACCATGCAACACCAGGTTTTTATTTCATTTAAAAGTAATTTATAGTTTAGCAACCACAAAACAGCTGAGGCATCTGCCACATTGTGTATCTTTCCCTCTTGTCCTAATATTGGGGGAGAGGATAAAATTGGAACAGCTAAAATATAGTTTCTAATACAGACTTACTTACTGAAATATATGGCAAATTTTTTTGCCATTCAATACTATAATGATACATACTTAGGAGTGATATAAATTCAGGATTAACCTGTGTACTACAAAAATACTAATAACTGGTGGGAAAACACAGATACTGGTTAAGGGTTCTAAAGTTCTAGAAAAAAAATTGGTTAAAGAGAATCATTATCTTAAGTAAAATTACATAGATTCCCTCTAAGAAATTATAATTGCCATTTTTCATTTGACAAGTACTTTTTAAAATCCTCTTAAGTAGTGAAATAGAAGAGTAAATTTATATGGCCCAAGTATTTTTGTTTGAGATAAAAATTCATATAAAATTTACCATTTAAACCACTTTAAATTGTACAATTTAGTATATTCGCTATGTTGTGTAATAATCACCACTATCAAATACCAGAATATTTTCACGCTCCCCAAAAAACAGCCCTATTTCCCTTCCCCCGACTCGCAATCACTAATTTGTTTTCTGTCTCTACACTATCGATTTGCCTATTCTGGACATTTCTAATAAATGGGATCATACAATATGTGGTCTTTTGTGTCTGGCTTCTTTCACATAGTGTAATGTTTTTGATGTTCATCAGCAGTTGGACATTCCCCGAGGGGTCCCAGATTGGAGAAGGTGCAGGCCAGGCTGAGGGACACCCCTCACCCCCGCCCTGGCCCCGCACAAATTTTGTGCACCGGGCCTCTAGTTTCTAATAAATGGGATCATACAATTTGTGATCTTTTGTGTCTGGCTTCTTTCACGTAGCATGTTTTCAATGTTCATCTATACTGCAGAATGTACAGTACTTCATTCTGTCTTATGGTTGACTAACACCTCCCAAGTTTATTTGTGTACCTTAAATGCATTTCTTCCTCAAACCACAGAACACGAAAGACTAATCCATTAAATAATGGATCTAGTCAAGTATTAATCTAGTAAATAGCTATGTAAGACTCAACAGTATCACTCTTAAGAAGTCTAAAGAAATATATTACAGTAAAGTTTATTGTTAATCATTTTTAAAATGAAATATCCAAATTTATAGAATCACAGCACAAGAAAGAACTAAATGATAACAGAGATTTCTCAAAACAGAGCGGAAGTGAATAAACATCAAGTTGAAGGTTTTTTTTAAAATAAAAAATCCAGCCTGGCCAGCATGGCTCAGTGGTTGAGCATCGACCTATGCACCAAGAGGTCGCAGTTTGATTCCTGGTCAGGGCACATGCCCAGGTTGTGGGCTGGATCCCCTGTAGGGGTCGTACAGAAGACAGCCGATTGATTTTTCTCTTTCATCAATGATGTTTGTTTTTTGGGGGGTTTTTTTGGAAGCTGATTTTTTAAAAATATTTTTATTGATTTTTTACAGAGAGGAAGGGAGAAGGATAGAGTTAGAAATATCGATGAGAGAGAAACATCGACCAGCTGCCTCCTGCACACCTCCTACTGGGGATGTGCCCGCAACCAAGGTACATGCCCTTGACCGGAATCGAACCTGGGACCCTTCAGTCCGCAGGCCGACGCTCTATCCACCGAGCCAAACCGGTTTGGCTCATCAATGATGTTTCTCTCTCTCCCTCTCCCTCCTCCCTCTCTAAAAATCAATTAAGTCTATAATTAATATCTTTAAAAAATAATAAGCTGTTGGAGAGGGCTTCATAAACCTTATTATAAAAAATAATGAGCCCTAGCTGGTTTGGCTCAGTGGCTAGAACCTGTGGACTGTGGACTGAAGGGTCCTGGGTTCTATTCCAGTCAAGGGTACATGCCGGGGTTGCTAGCTCAGGTCTCAGTGGGAGACATGCAGGAGGCAGCTGATCAATTATTCTCTCATCATTGTTATTTCTATTTCTCTCTCCCTCTCCATTTCTCTCTGAAATCAATAAAAATATTTTTTAAAAAGAAAAAATAATGCAATTTAGCACTTTGTCAAAGGCTTCCTATAGAAAAAAATGGTCCATTTTCTTGAATATAAACCCTACATTAGAAAATATATCAAATAATTCATAAAAAGCAACAGCTTAATATCTATGAGCCCTTATATGTCAGGCTCTGTATTAAGCAATGTATGTTTATTAGCTTGTTTCACCCACTAAACATTACAGGGGTATGTCCTCCATTATTGGCCTCTTCTTATAGATGAAGTAACTGAGGATGAGGAAAGGAATTTGCCCACAGTTAGCCAGCTAGGAAAGTGACAGTGGTGGGATCTGAACCCATGCCATCTGACTCTAAAGACCCCCACATTTAGTCATTCACTCTTTGTAACTTACATTTTTAAAGGCCTGGTTATTCTGGAATACTGGCAATATAATTTCCCCCACCCTCCACCCCCTAGCCCCAGAGCTAAAAGAAAACTAATTTTCTATAATGATCTCAGAGGTTCATTAGATTCCTACTGTGGTATGGGCTATTAGTAAGCCATTGAGGACTTCTTAGAATTTGCATCCTGCCTAATAAATTTTCAAATTTGAAGGAAAAATGAAACAGGAATTGAAAACAGAAGAAGCCTTTTTAAGAAAATAACCTGAAATTATGAGGATGTTTGTTTGCTGTTTTGTTTTATTCTGAGCCTAGGAAAGAAGATCTGGTATGATATTAGCATGGTCCAAGGTTCTGTCCACCAAAAATAAGAATGCAAGTCTTTGTCACTATCTAGAAATAAGAATGTGTCCTCATAACAGCACCACTTCTTAAATTCGGCAAGACTGAAATAATCAGTAAAGCTTAGCAAAGTCTACTGAATTCAATCCAGAAGTTGTTAAGTTACATTTTCCCTACTGATACTAGATTAGTGGGAGTGGAAGAACATAAAAGAAATTCAAAGTATGGAGCAAAGAACTTAAGCCAAAGATTGGGCCATTAAACTTGGGATATTTGGTATAGCTCATAGATTGGAGGTGATCTAAGTTCCACAAGTACTTAATGATGTTCAACTTTTTGCATTAACATACTGCATTTACCATGTTGTAACTAAGCTTGCTGATTTTAAAAAACAATTTCAAATTCCTACAGCAGATTAGTAAGGCAGATCCCATAATGTGAGCATGCTCATAAGCTAACAGAGGTGGCTTTTCCTCCAGAGGAAAGGGGACAAAGAGCAACTCAAGTTATTCATATCAGGAAAGGATTCTAGCTTCAGGGGCATAGGCGTCATACTCTGGGCACAATGTCATTCTGCCTAGCTATTCTACACACTGGAGATAGTGACAACTCACTTTCTCCCCTTTTAGAGGTAAAGAATCAGAGCTGTCTCAAACATTCACCATTTCGAACAGAAGACGAACAAGCTTCTCAGACTCTCCTCTGTATTTAGAAGTCAGCGTTGATGAAGAGACATTGAAGAATGTTGTCTTGCATTCTGTAGCTACTGCTTTAGCAAGGAGGGTCTTTCCCGTGCCAGGTGGGCCAACCATCAACACTCCCTGTTGGGAATGTAACAGCATAAATGAAGGACTTATCTGCCATTGTTCTAATTCACTAGAATTCCATTACTAAGCATCACTTTTCAACCAACTTACACATATTAAGACAAAAGACAAATAGAAAGGTAAACAGAAGTATACTTTATCACAAATTTACTTTGTCCATTACAAAAGTATAATAACAGCATTATTTAAAATATGTAACTCAGAACTGAGAAAAAATATAATCAATATTATAATACTGATATTACAATATCATATCCTACCACAGGTATTGTTACAGTATCTGGATATATTTTCTGCTAGTCTTTTTGCTCAAATAAATTAGTTATTTTTTTACATATTTATACTCAAAGAATGTTTATAATTTTTATCTTGCTTATCATTTAACATTTAAAGACTCAAAACTGCCCAGCCAGCCTGGCTCAGTGGTTGAACGTCGACCTATGAACCAGGAGGTCACTGAGTCAATTCCCGGTCAGGGTACATGCCCAGGTTGCAGGCTGGATCCCCAGTGTGGGGTGTGCAGGAAGCAGCCAATCAATGATTCTCTATCATCATTGATATTTCTATCTTTCTCTCCCTCTCCCTTCCTCTCTGAAATCAATAACAATAAATAAACAAATAAATAAATAATAAAGACTTAAAATTAGTAAGTGCTTAGCTATTAGCATATTTTCTAAATCTAAGAGTTTTTGACAGTCTCTTTTCAGATCGACCCATGACCTTAAAAAGTCCTTTTTAGCCGAAACCGGTTTGGCTCAGTGGATAGAGCGTCGGCCTGCGGACTGAGGGGTCCCGGGTTCGATTCCGGTCGGGGCATGTGCCTGGGTTGCGGGCATATCCCCAGTGGGCGATGTGCAGGAGGCAGCTGATCGATGTTTCTCTCTCATCGATGTTTCTGACTCTCTATCTCTCTCCCTTCCTCTCTGTCAAAAATCAATAAAATATATTAAAAAAAAAAAAGTCCTTTTTAGATATAGATATGTTTTTTTAAATATATATTTTATTGATTTTTTTACAGAGAGGATGGGAGAGGGACAGAGAATCAGAAACATCGGTGAGAGAGAAACATCAATTAGCTGCCTCCTGCACACCCCCTAATGGAGATGCACCCCAACCAAGGACCATACCCTTGACTGGAATCGAACCCGGGACCTTTCAGTCCCCAGGCTGATGCTCTATCCACTGAGCCAAACCTATCAGGGCAATATGTCTTATTTCTTAAGAAAAATATCTTCAATAGATGCAAATATGTCTTAATTTCTTAAGAATAGGATACAAGTTTGCAACATGACACATAAAATGGAGTGTTTTTGCATTAGGCAACTTGTTCACATTTGCAAATACAAGCTCATTCTAAATCTGCCATGTGTCCAACTATCCAAGATCATGTTGTACTTATTTATTATTCTGAGAACCTAGAAATAGCTTTTGGTCTAAACAAAATTCTGAATAACACAACATACTGTTTTTAATTTAAATTTTCTTTACCTACTCTACTACTTTCTCTCCTCACTTCACCTAAAACAGATAAATATTGACTTTCTTTAGCGATGTACTGGCCATTCACTTTGACTATGCCATAATAAACTTACTTTCCACGGTCTCCTGATGCCCTTAAAGAATTCTGGCATCCACATTGGTAACACCACAGCTTCCTTAAGCAACTTTTTAGCCTCTACCAAATCAGCAATATCATCCCTGAAAGAGAAGATATTTTAAAAACCACCTTTTAGAGTATATATTTAACTCTATGGAGTCATTCTTGAGAACCCCTGGAAGCACGCGATTTGACATTACTGACAGAATGCTCTCCTTTGGCTCTAGTGAACTAAGGCACTGTGATGAGGCCCTGCCAACCAATCCACATACAGAGTTTTTGTCAGTGACGATTCTCAGCTTGGCGAATGAGAACACATGTCGACAGGCCCACTCAAGTATTAGTATGCCATCTCATTTTAAATTCTTGCTCTGACTGATGCTCATTCCATAAACTTCATGATTTAAAAACAATGAGCCCGTTTAAAAAAAACATAACAAAGAAAAAGGCATAAAAGCAGAGACAGGTTGTAATACTGCTGCTTTGCCCCCAACCCTATTAAGAGATAGACACCAAGGATAAAGGGTATCATAGAAATTGCTATGAAGTTGCAACCACAAAATTACCACCACCACTCCACACATAGTATTTTTTGTAATATGTTTTTATTGGTTTTTGAGAGGAAGGAAGAGGGAGAGATAGAAACATCAATGATGAGAATCATCAATTGGCTGCCTCCTGCAACGTCCCCTACTGGGGATCTAGCCCACAACCCGGGCATGTGCCCCAACCAGGAATTGAACAGTGACTCCTGGTTTATGGGTCGAGGCTCAAACATTGAGCCACACCAGCAGGGCCACACATGATATTTTGAATGAAATTTCTGTGATCTTATTCCCATTCTGTAATTATTTTTCATCTAATAAAAAAATTATTTTATTATTTATTTTATTTAAAAGTCTCAGATAAAAACTTGGTACAGCCTGAACTGGAGTTTTGCATTATATGTAACACTCCCATTGCATGGACTCTGGTTCTATTCCCAAGGACTGATCTTCAGTGCATGCCCACATCTGTTCCATTTCCTATCCCAAAAAGCATCAACAGCACACCCAATTATTATAACTTACCATCGAACATTGGGATTCTGAGAAATTATATCTCTTTCCAAAGCTTCTACTAAGTCCTTATCATATCCAGTACTATCAAATTTATTGGTTTCTGGTTCTGTAACTGCGGCAGGTGATTTGTTCTACATTGGGACAAAAAAACAAGAGCTTTTGATTGACTCAAAAATTTTTATTTTGTTTCTGTGAGTCAGAAAAAAAGATTGGAGTCAAGTGATATTTTTTAAAAAGCTAATATAATAGTACAAGTAATAAGGGCAGGATCAAAGACTAGAAGTCATCCTCTACATCAGAGTTTCATCCTCAATATTTAATTTTTATATAAAAAGTATGACAATGGTGTTAAAAACAAAATGATTATGCACATGAACTGATGAGAATAAAAAAATTAATACTGAGATTAACTGTGGTCACTAGTAAACATCAGATATGTGTGATTAGTCGTCTCAAAGCTTCAGAGGAGATAAGGTTAGAGACAAATGGATTATTCAACTAAGACTATGGTTCAATCTTTAACCAGTCCTCACTAATGTTCCTTAAATATCCCCTTTCACTATTCCCACCCACCCTCCAAAAGAGACATCTCAGTCCTTAGGTGAGTGAGCATCCGCTCCCATCCTGTGATGTCAGTCATTAAGGCCATAGATCCAAAATATATACTAAAGTATTCCAGGGCATGATGGCAAACTCATAGGGCACTGAAAGATAATTAAAACAAAAATGTTTAAATTGTTGACAGTATTACAGATGCCCCCATTTGATATTTTAAATTTCTGAGGGAAGCATGGCAACATCTGTTGAATACTGGATGAACTATCAACTCAAAGCAGTTCAGTTTCTACATGAAGACTGCTACATTCCTTTCAGAAATGCCATATTTTAGAAAGCTAGGTTTTTGGCTATAACTGTGATAAGCTATATAATGGGAAAAATCAATGTGGAAGAGGAATAAGAATGTCCACTCTGCCTCCAAAGTCTGAGAAATCTACAGTGTCCAATAAGTGTTGATAGGATATAAACTAAGTTCTTTGAACCTAACTTCCTCATAAATAGTAGGTATTCTTTTTGAAAAAAATTATTGAAACACTCATGAATTTTATGAACCAAAAAATTTATGAAGCTCTGCATTAGTGTAAATAATCATTTACTCGATCTGGTACTAGGATCATTATCCCATCTCCATAACATTTCATTGCCCATAACATGATGATTTCTCAATGGTGCTGTCTACAGTCAACATTAATGTCTAGACTTAATCCATATTTATGATATTCACAGTCTTACACTAGATGACTAAATAAGTCTGTTGCACAATTTACAGACTATTCAGTATCCAATACTAACATAAACGGTATAGGGAAGGCATTGTTTAACATTTAAAAGAGGAGGTTATCTTTTCTTCTAAGTATTTATGAACTTGTTATTCACTCAGAGATTATCTATTAAGAATCTGTTCTGTGCTAGCAGCTGGGGGGTAGAAAGAAGACACTGTCCCTGACTACTGGAAAAGTACACTGTATGCCCAGGAAGATACATATGGAAGATACTTTCTAGTTCTCACTTTCTTTTCTCCCACAGAACACAGTGCTGAGGGAATGTTTGTAGCCAAAGCAAAACAAATTTAAGCTAGGCAGAAAGGAGAAACAATTCTATAGTAGGTCAGGAAAGAGAAGGTATGGAATTTCAAATTTTGACATTTTTAATAGGATTTTATTGATTTAGCTGAACTAGTACAATTCTCTTTTAAGTATACACTTATGCAATAACTTGCTCTAAATTAACATACTAACAGCTGCCAGGAGGTAAAAGAAAGCAGCAGAGAGATTTTTTAAAATGTAGAGTCCTTTTTGATGCTCAAAATGAAGTTGAAGATGGACCAATTAACCAGGATATAAGTCCCTGGGTTTAAAATCAATTATTTTAAAACCTGGCAAAATTAGAAATGCAAAATCCAAATCCAATGTCTCAATTAAAAAAATTAATCTGGAGCATGCCTGGAAGCTCTGTGTCCCTTCCCTCATTCCTCGCCCTATGCATCTCTTCCATCCAGCTGCTCCTGAGCAGAATCCTTTGTAATAAACCAGCAATAAATAAGTGAACTGTTTTTCCTGAGTTCTGTGAGCTCTCTAGTGAATTATCAGGCCCAAAGAGAGAGCTGCCATAGTCTGGCAGTTTTAATGACTAAAAATTATTAAAATCTGTACAGACTTCATTTTTAAAGTTAAAACATAACTTTTTCATTTATGAAAATCAGTAACATTTACCTTTTCCTCTCTTCCTTTATTCTGTTCTTTCTTTTCCCGGCAACGCACAGCTTTCCCTCTGTCATTTTGAAGATTGTGTGCAGATGGACGGTGAACTCTGACAGTTGTACTTGGACGGTTACTGTGTGCTTTAGGGTCACTGTTTTGAGAAGATTGGCGTTTTCTAGGACCTGGTGAGGGTCTAATCAAGCACAACATCATTAAAATCATAATCAACCCCTGAAGTTGGTCTAAATAGAGATGAACACAAATAGTGTATAAGAGTCCATGAACTAAAGAAGCCATGGCAATAACTGCATACAAGACAGGAGTGAATAAACTTTTTTCCCCCCAAAAAAAGCATGTCTTTCTTGAAAGGTCTCTACTTACCTTCGTTCAACAGGTACAGGCAAGGACCAGACTTCTCCCTCAGAAGCTGGAAGCTCATGTTGTGCAGCTTTCAATGGAGAACTGTCTAATTTAAAGCTCTCTAGTGTTTTCATGATATCCTTAACATGTTTAGCTTCCACATTTATTTCCTGCCACACCTGATGGTTTCAAAGGAGAATATAGTTATTTAAATTTTTATAACTGATAAATCACTGTCAAGATTAATTAAACTAGTGGCCCTGACCGGTTTGGCTCAGTGGATAGAGCATCGGCCTGTGGATTCAAGGGTCAAGGGCATGTACCTTGGTTGCGGGCACATCCCCAGTAGGGGGTGTGCAGGAGGCAGCTGATCGGTGTTTCTCTTTCATCGATGTTTCTAACTCTCTGTCCCTCTCTTCCTCTCTGTAAAAAAAAAGATTAGACTAGTGCCTTTATTACCGATGTAGACAAGTCCATTTGTGCCCTGGCCGGTGTCGCTCAGTTGGGTGGAGCGTCAGTCAGGACACCAGAAAGCGGTGAGCTTAACCGCCTGCCAGTCAGGGCACACGCCCAGTTTGCAGGTTTTACATCTGGTCAGGACACATGCAGAGGCGGTCGATCAATGTCTCTCTCTCTCCCTTCCTCTCTCTAAATATCAATTTTTAAAAAAGAAACCTCCATTTTGACATCAAATATTCAATAAATCACACCAAGCTATTGTTAAGATTTTAATAATGGTTCATTAATTCTTTGTTTTTAATTGCAAAATTAATTCTGATAAAATGAATTAAATATTCTGGCTAATTAAGCCATATTACTGACTTATGGTTCTTATTCAAATTGCATAACAAATTAAAAAGTTAGATGCAACTTTAAAGTTTGATAAAGTATTATTTTTGTAAGCTGCACTTTGATGGGTTTTTAAATGCTATTGGACAATTTTTAAATGCTGATTAGAATCCACTAATTTCATAACTCACTAGTGGATTGCAATTTGGCTTCAGAAGATAAATGGCTCGATTCACATACAATCAAGATGTTTTTTATTTTTTTTTTTTTTAAATATTTTAAAAATATATTTTATTGGTTTGTTACAGAGAGGAAGGGAGAAGGATAGAGAGTTAGAAACATCAATCAGCTGCCTCCTGCACACTCCCCACTGGGTATGGGTCAGCAACCAAGGTAAATGCCCTTGACCGGAATCGAAGCCGGGACCCTTTAGTCCGCAGGCCGACGCTCTATCCACTGAGCCAAACCAGTCAGGGCTCCAAGATGTTTTTTAAAAGCGATCTTGACTCAATTTAAAAACTATGCATATATATATATATATATATATATATATATATATGTATATGAAACATTGAAATGAAATTGGTAATGTTTTGTCTTAAACCTAAATGACTTAAGTATCTTTACAAAAACGCTTAGACTTTTAAAGTAGAAGTCTCTGGCCTAAGAACAAAAGGTCTTATAAGTCTTTCAGTGACAAGCAGAACTCCTTATGAAATATTTTCCCCTTCCAGTAACGTCAGAGATATGCAGAGGCAGATTTAGGAAAAAAGGTTACATTTTAAAAAGTAGGATATTTTCTCTTTTAAAGAAATTAAGGACAAATATGGAATACTATTTTAAAAAAAGCAGTTCAGTAGAATACTATTCTACCTAGAAGACCAGCTCAAAAAGACTATTAATTTCTATAACATTTCTTTCCTCTGTGACATAGTTGAACCTTATTATAAATGCCACCTTCAACTGTACCTATAAGTTCTACAGTTTCCACCTGTGAATTTCTATTGGTCTTCAGTGACTAACGTTCCTCAAATGGAATTCAAATATGGTCTGTTTTATCCTGTTCTATAGAAAATATGGTATCCATGAGATTCAGGTATCATCTGCAGTTTCGTAAATGGCTTAATAAAGTCAACTCTAATTTTACCAGATAAAAACATGATCTAGGGAAAAAATTGAAAACCATTACTTAAAAAAATATTAGATTCCAACAATTAAAATAATTAATAGAGCTTATAATACTGATGGTGGTGAATAGACTATTACTAATATAATAAATCAAGTTTCAAGTAACATTATATACAAATCCATGTAACAAATGATACACTCTCAATGCGTAACTGCAAAAAGCACTGATAACTGAAATCTCCTGAGTATTTAAACCATTTAAAAGATACATAAGTCATGATTCTCACCTGTTGCCATTTCTGCTGGAGGTATGTATCTTTGACTGAGTATAGATACTTGTTCATTTGGTCAAGAACTCCCTGGTAATAGACCATCGCAGAGTCATAGTTTCCCAATAACGCATATTCACGAGCCAATTTTACATTCTCACTAATCATAAGAAGACTCATGCTCACATGTAAGCTAAACAAGAGAAGAAGAAACATTTCATATTATATATCTCTTAAAAATAAGTACTACAAAGAATTTTTTAAAAGTATACTTTCTAGGGCTCCCTCCAGAAGCTCACAAGCACATACATACTGCACTTTCCACCTCTACACATTTGCTCATGCTATTTTCAATCCTTCAAAGAAATTCTTTAGTTCCCAAAGCCAAACGCTACCTATGTGTCAAAGCCCAGGTGAGATGGCAGTTGTCCCTGTATATCTACCTCTGAAATTCTCTGTTCAACATAAACCCTCCCCCTTCTAAAGTCCCCTGGCACTTTATTGGGAGATTCATCTCAAGACAATTGTCTACTTTGAATTACAGTTACTGATATGTCTATTCTCTACTAGAACAAGTTATTTGTGAGTAGGATTAGCATCTGGAAGGTGTGAGGCTGTATCCTCAGTGTATGGCAAATAAGTATTATTGAATATCTACAGAACAAATGCAGAATGTTAGATAGTTTTTGGAAGGCAATGTACTAGTACAGCGGTCGGCAAACCATGGCTCGCGAGCCACATGCGGCTCTTTGGCCCCTTGAGTGTGGCTCTCCCACAAAATACCACGTGCGGGCGCGCACATACAGTGCAACTGAAACTTTATTAAGTTAATTTTAGGGAATGTTGTAGAGTGAAAGAAGATGTAGTGTCGAGGATTGAGAAAGGTATGTTGAGATGGTTTGGACATCTATGAGGATGAACGAAAGGAGATAGATGAAACAAGTATACAAGACGAGTGTGGATGAGAGAGTTGGAAGGGGTCGACCTCAGCGAATGTACCTCAATCAAATTGAGGATGTTTTTAGGAAAGGCCAGCTTAGGAGTACCCTAATTAAGCTAATAACAATGTACCTACCTAAAAAATTTGGCTCTCAAAAGAAATTTCAATCGTTGTACTGTTGATATTTGGCTCTGTTGACTAATGAGTTTGCCAACTACTGTACTAGTAGAACAGCAGAAAGCATGTGTGTTTTGAAGTTAGAAAAATGTTGGTTCCAATTCTAATTCTGCCACCTTGGTCAAATCAGTGGTTGAGCATTGACACATGAACCAGGAGGTCATGGTTCAATTCCTGGTCTGGGCACTTGCCCGGGTTGCTGGCTCGATCCCCTGTGTGGGGTGTGCAGGAGGCAGCCAATAATGATTCTCTCTCATCATTGATGTTTCTCTCTCTCTCTCTCTCTCTCTCTCCCTCTCACTTTTTCTCTGAAATCAATTAAAAAATTATTTTTTAAAGAAGCATGATTAATGGGAAATGTTGGTGGGTGGAAGAGCTAAAAACCAGCAATGCCATAATAGACAAGAAGGGGGTGGGTGCTCCTTAGGGCAGAGATTAGAGTGAGATGGAATCACAACCACCCCAGGGAGAAGTAGGGATGTCAAAATCACAGCAACCACCTCAGGCTTCTATTTTCTGCCAGTCTGATAGTTCTCATTCTTTAAACAATTGTTGTTCCTTTACCCAGTTAGACCTGATTAATACATGTCATGTATTATGTATTCTGATATGTATTAGGAACTTGAACTCAAACATCTTTAATCTCAGCTATTAGTTTCAATTCCTAAATACAAGGCGAGACAGACACCAAAATAACTGCTGGCCCCTTTCCTGAAAACCAATCCTAGAAGAGTAACAGATACTTCACAGAAGGTTGATGGGTCCCAGAATTAAACATAAAATTCTGAAAAACAACTGAACTGACTGATGTTGATGGGGTCTTTGTGTGTGGGAGGTCCAAGGCAGCCCACAGGTAAACAGGGCCAGGTGAGAGTTTTTTAGCTGTGCCCTTTCTGACTTCCACTGTCCTGGCCAATCCTTGCTCACCCTTGCAAGTGCAAGCCCAGCAGCACCCTCTTCTTTTTTTCTTAGTGCCTAGAAAAGGAAATTTTAATAAAAGACCTCCCCCTTTAAAAAGCTCCAGGCAGCCCTAGCCAGCTTGGCTCAGTGAATAGAGCATCCGCCTGCGGACTGAAGGGTCCCAGGTTTGATTCCAGCCAAGGGCACATGCCTGGGTTGCGGGCTCCACCCCCAGTGTGGGGGGTGCAGGAGGCAGCCAATCAGTGATTCTCTCTCATCATTGATGTTTCTATCTCTCTCCTTCTCCCTTCCTCTGTGAAATCAATAAAGAAATATATTTATAAAAAAAATAAAAAGCCCAGAGGGATTTTTTTTTATGGGAGGGCTTTTACCTACCTTCTAAATATAAAAGAAGGTAATTCCAATCACATAAAAGTTGATCCATAAAAAAAGAGAAAAACTGACTAACTCTTTTTTCTGAGGCTGGGATCACCTCAATTTCAAAATTTCAAAACTGAGTAAGAATACAAAGCCCATTTCAATTATGTATGAAGAAGTGGGAATCTATATACAGTGGGGCCTTGACTTACGAGTGTCCTGACTAACGAGTTTTTTGAGATACCAGCTGTTTCTCCGCGGATTTTTTGCTTTGAGTTGACAGAGTAATTTGAGTTAACGAGCTCCTTAACGAGCTCAGTCTCGGAAGGAATTAAACTGGTAAAAGTCAAGGCCCCACTGTATACCAAAAGGCTAATATGCAAAGTGTCCCCTCGGGAGTTCGATTGCTCGCTATGACATGCATTGACCACCAGGGGGTGGCCCAGAACGAAGGAAGGCCCCAATTGGCAGCTGGAAGGCCCTGATCAGCCCTGATTGCTGGCCAGCCCTAGGGAACCTATCTGTTCATGCATTTCATGCACCGGGCCTCTAGTCCTAAATAAAATGTTAGCTAACAGTGTCAGCTAACTCTTTTTCCCTCCCTTCTTTCCTCCCTCCCTCTCTTTCTCTTCCTCCCCTTCCCCTTCTCCATGATCAGGAAGATTTATCACAGGAATGCAAGAAAAACTTAAGATCAGAAAATCCATCCTTACAATTCCTCACACTAATGGACAAAGGGACTTCACACAAGAATGGGTAGGAGCATTAAGGACAATTCATAGAAGGGAAAACTCAAGCTGGCTAAGAAGTACAGATACTAGTAACAGATGAATGCAAATAAGAACAAGAAGACACCCCTTTTACATTTATCAGATTTAAAATAATAATAATAAATCCAATAATATTAAGTATTTCCAAGGATTTGGAGGCGGGAACCTGCACATATAATTTGTGGTTATAAACTGATACAGTCATTTTGGAGAGCAATCTGGCAGTACTAAGGGGAATTATGTATGCATACATCTGATGGCCCTGCAATCCCACTCTTCTGTAAATATCACAGAGAGAAAGTCTCACACAGATCCAGTAAGGGACTTGTTTGGGGACGTTAATGACATGAACTGTTTTGGAAATCAAGGAGTTGGAGGCAATCTACCTAGGGAAATGGATACAAAAAAGTGGTGGATACATACAATGGAATACCACATAGCAGATGGAAGCAAATTTTACAAATAGCATCATGGATAGTTCATCAAAATACAAGGTTGGGCAGAAAAAAAATCTTAGACATAGGCCAAGATGTAAATTCTAATACATTTTGTAAATTTAAAATAAGCTATATTTGCCCTGGCCAGGTGGCTCAGTTGGTTGAATAGTTGTCCTGAAAACCAAAGGGTTGTGGGTTCACTTCCCAGTCAGGGCACATACCTGGGTTGAGAGTTTAATCCTCGGTCAGAGTGTGCCCAACGATATTTCTTTTTTCACATCGATATTTCTCTTTCTCTCTCCCCCTTCCTCTCTCTCTAAAATAAAAAATCCTCCAATGAGGATTTTAAAAAACACTATATTTACTTATATGTGCTATATAAAACACTTAAAGACTACATACACACCTGAGAATATTTATATTAAGTATACTGAAGTGTCTGTGGAGGATAAGATAGGGAAATATGAGTGGAGAAAGAAGATGAAGAATAGGAAAGAAACAAAAAATAAATACAACAAAAGAAGAGCCTTCTATCCATTGATAATCACAGAGAGCCTCTGAAATGGTTCTCAAGGACCTCTGCCTCCCAGTATCCATACCCATGTGTACTCACCTCCCCTTGAATGTGAGCTTATAAAAAACAGAACATGCAAAATAACAGAACGTCATTTCTGAGATTAGACTGTGACTTCCATTTTCCTCACTGTCTCTTGCTGGACCACTCCAAGGGAAACCAGTTACCTTGCTGAGAGCTGCACAGTGCAGAGGCTCTACATGGCAAAGAACTGAAGGAGGGCCCCAGGCCATCAGCCAGTGAGGAATCGAGGGCCTCATTCCAGTAGCCCAGAATACTGCCAAGTACTACGTGCCGTGCAGAGAGGCTGGAAACGGATCCTCCCTGTTGAGCTTTGAGATGACTACAGCCCAGATACCTTGATTACAGCTCATGAATGACTCTAGATCAGAAGTACCCAGCTAAGCCAGGCCCAGAGCCTGACCAAAGAAACCATGAGTAATAAATATCTGCTGTTTTAAATCATTAGGTTTAGGGTAATTTGCTATTCAGCTATGAAATGAGGTCTATGAGTAACTCAAGACTGGGCATCTGAGATCCAAAAGAAAAAGAAAAAAATCCCATGACCTAAATAACAACTCCCTGGAGTCACTTAGGTAATATTCTATCTTAATAAAAGCTCCATGACCAGTGATCACGGCTTTCTGTTACCTCTGCTTGGCACACAGCAGATACTCAATTAATCTTTAAATGAATGAACAGTGCCAAGTTTTTGTCTTAACTATTAAAATTTCTTACCCTTGTCCAGCTCTTTACCCTCAGCACTTGCATTCCTTGACCCTCAAATCAGCCCTACCGGCGCTGTGATTGCCTCTGAAACTACATGCCCGACAGTGACACCTGGTCTCGGCAACATAGAGGCCAGCTGAGGGCAGCTGCATAGATCTGGATGAGCTTGTATATCAGGCTTCTCATGCCTTTCCCCTCTCCCTCCCTCTTTCCCTTAATAGACTTTCTCCTGATCTTTCTTTCCATTCCCCATTTAAAATAATAAAAATCTAAATTAAGTTGTTACTTATATACGTGTGGTCCTCATTTTTTTTTTTTTTTTTAGGGCCATGAGTCAATGGCCTAAAACACACAAACGCACTCCAGGCCTTCTTTGAAGGTTCTCTGTGTTGTGAATATTTCCTTCTAGTCAGATAAAATTCCTTAGGAGCCAATGAATTGACTCTTTCTCACAAACAAAAAAGTAAAGTCAATCCAAGGCCACATTAACAAATGACCTGAAAAATTCTTGGTTATCAAAGTAACGACATGTTTACTGAAAACACTATCAAAATATCCTTAGCTGACTAAATGTTAGATAAAAACAATTCTCCTTGTTCTTTCAGTAGTCTCTGAACCAAAGACATTATTCTTCTCAAATAAATGTCAGCACTGTAAATGTAAAATTCTCCAACTTTCAAGAATATATCCTTATCATTACTAAATTACACTCAGGAGGACAGAAACTGGATCTAACGAGCACAATAACTGGTAATATATAAAGAAATTAATATATTTCAAGAAAAGCCTATAGACAAAAATTTAACCACCATGAACTATAAACACTACCTACTGGTTCAATTAATTAAAAACACATATAAAATTGAGATTGTCCAGCCCTACCTGGTTTGGCTCAGTTAATAGAGGGTCAACCTGCAGACTGAAAGGTCCCAGGTTCAATTCCAGTCAAGGGCACATGCCGGGGTTGCAGGCTCGATCCCCAAGGGGGGGGGGGGGGGGCGTGCAGAAGGCAGCCGATCAATGATTCTCTCTCCTCATTGATGTTTCTATCTCTCTCTCTCCCTTCCTCTCTGAAATCAATTTTAAAAAGTTTTAAGAAAATGAGATTGTCCAAAAATTGAGACTCTTGATTTACAGAGGTTATTAAAGAAAAAAATAACCTTAAGTGCTGATGCCTGCTTTACCTCACAGCAAACTTCCTTTCTATAAGTCTATCAGAACCGAACCACCCTTTTTCTTACATGACTTGAGTATTTATGATTCAGCTAATGGCTAAACTCATTTTTTTTTTAAATATATTTTATTGATTTTTTACAGAGAGGAAGGGAGAGAGATAGAGAGTCAGAAACGTCGATGAGAGAGAAACATCGATCAGCTGCCCCCTGCACATCTCCCACTGGGGATATGCCCGCAACCCAGGTACATGCCCTTGACCGGAATCGAACCTGGGACCCTTCAGTCTGCAGGCCGACGCTCTATCCACTGAGCCAAACCGGTTTCGGCAACTCATTTTTTTAAAACTAAATACGATACCCCATAAAATTTTAATTCAAATAATAAAGTCAAATTTTTAAAAATTAAACACTCACTACAAAATTTCTAGCAAACTTAATTCTGATGTGGTATAGTGTCTCCACAAAGAGACTTAAAGTGTCTTTTTCTCCTCTAGGATTAGGGAAAAGAAGTGATCAAAGACACTGAAAAACAGGCAATAGATCCAAATATTTGAATTCAAAGATTTCTCTTCCAAAACAATAAACTCAGGGCCTTCCCTATTTCACATCTAAAAAGGATACCTTAATAATAGAGATCAGAGCAGAAATAAATGACATAGAGACTAAAAAAAAAAACAAAAAACAATGTAAAAGATCAATAAAAAGTATACCTTATTCACTTAATCGTTAAAGGAATCTTAGACAGGGCTCCACTTATAGTGCAGTGTTTACCATAATGTGCATAGGTTATTCAAAAAATATTTACAGAGCACCTGCTGGGTTGCAAGGAATTTAACTGAAGACAAAAATAAGATGGACTGAGACCCTGAAATCCTTGCAGTTTAGTAAAGGAATATCAATTTATTTGTTCTAGGTGTATTTTTCCTTGCTTAGCACAGATTAAAAAATCAGCATCAATGTTAAAAATATCTGCAAAACTGATGTCCTAAAATAAAAACAAAGTTCAATCATGTATATTCCTAAGGCATTTCAGTAAACCAAATGTATGTAACTTTAAAAGTGACAATACAATGTTAAGCAATTTTCAGTATGTTCGTGTCTAGAATATGAAAGCAACAATAATGCTAATTGACAGTCAGTCACTGATGATTATGAATAAGCAATAAATGAGCAACCCATGACCAATTACAGCATGACAACCATTTTTCTTACTCTTATAATCATCATATAATACCCAAGAAGCACAAGCAAGTTCTTTGTATAAAAAAAGCAATGAAAAACAACCTGCTCAGAAAAAAAATACATATTTAAATGTATGTATTTTTTACATTTACCTTGAACAATGCAAAAATAAATCAGTGAACATGATTTAAATGTAATTTAAAAGCCACATCAACAAACATTACAAGCATAATCTACTTACATCAACACTGACCATTTTGATCTGATATATTATATTTGTTTGTTAATCCTCACCTGAGGATTTTTTCCATTGATTTTTTTCAAAGAGAGTTAAAGGGAGCGAGGGAGAGAGGGAGGGAGGGAGGGAAGGAGGAACATCTGTATGAGAGAGACACATTCAGTGGTTGCCTCCTGCATGCCCCCTAACTGGGTCCCAGAATTGAAATGATACACTATCATTTTTAACCAGTCAAGTAGCTAAGGAAAAAAAAAAAAAAGAAGCAAACATTGTTGCACACAGAAATTCAACAGTTAATACAGTAAATTCTACCGGATTCTCTAATCCTAGGGACCTGTCAGAATTGTGATACCAGGTTTGAAATGAGATGCAGAAACCACTGCAGACTCCCCAGCATGCCTAGTGCTGAAGCTATAAAAGGTGGGCGCTTCTTGAATAACCACGGCCATCGAGGAACTCGATGTCGCTCCTCATCGCCTAGGACTGTTGGGAAGTTGACGGGCACTGCCTTTTGCTTAGAGCCACAGCACGGGGCCACCAGTTACCAGTATCAATACAAGAAAAAGCATGTCGCCGCTCTTTCCGTGTGTGAGAGAGAACTCTCTGATTTCGCGGAGACAGGGCTGCGTTGACACCTGCAGGCATGACGGACACCGAGAGCCTTTCCTGACACCTTCGTGTTCCGGCCTCGTTACTGTGCGGCAGCCAGGGGCCTACGGCACATTCCCAAACACTCGGGAAGGTTTCCGGCAGCGACCACAGGCCTGATTTCAAGGAGGAAGACGTGCACACGTCTTTCAAGAGAGCCGGGTGTAATACTCTGCTGCTGGAATTCAGTAGCTGACATAAAATTGCACTTGGCAGTTTAAAGAGAAAATTACCGTAGGTCCCATACGGGCTTGAGCTTATCCACCGTGAGGCGCTTACAGGTCCACGTTTACCTCGAACTCCGACGTCACATACGATACGATATGAACCCAATGTTTCGAGGGGTAACATTTTTAAAAGATGCCAACTCTAAACAAAAAGGGCCGTGAACTTCCCCGGCCCCGGGATAAACTAAACAAGCAACAACATCCGCAACCACGTCACACCAACCTATCGGGAGTTTTCCTAGGGTGGGGACTGCGGGGACGGGAGCGGGGACGGATGCGGGAGAGGACCCGTCAACAAGAGAATAGAAACATGCCCTCCTGGCCAGAAACTTCTCTAATGGCACCGGTCTGGGGACGGGGTCCTCGGGAGCCCCCCGAGTCCCTGCTGGACGGGAGGAATCAGGTGAGGGGACCGTCACCGAAGCCACAGGTGTCAACGACAACAGCAAGGACCTCAGACCTCCGCGCAGACCAGGGCTGGCTCCCAGCAGGATGCGCAGCGGCCTCGCACCCAGGCCCCGAGGTCCCTCACCGACTCTGCCACGGGGGCCGGGGGTCCCCACAGCCCCGGGCGAGCCGACACTCACCTGTGGAGGCCGAGGCTCCTCGGAAACCGCCCACCGACAGGTGGAGGGGCAGGGTGGAGCGGGGCTCCGGGCGAGGAACGAGGGCCCTGCCCAGCCCCAACCACCCGGCTCGGTGCTCACCGTCCCAGCAGTGCCGGGTCCAACCGCCGCCAGTCCCCTGCGAAGATTCAGCTCACCAAGAATTTGAAGGCAAACTCGCCAGGGTCACTTCCGGTGCCGGGGGTGGCCTCGGCGACTTCGGCGCACGCTGGGCGACGCCCCGGGAGCGAGGACGCCGGGCGGCGTGCGCGCGCCGGGCGCGGAATGGGCGTGGCCGACGGAGGCGGGGAACGTGGTGGGATGCGCCTGCGCAGTCCTCGTCGCCGCCTTCTGGCGGGGTTGGGATGCCTGTTGGGTTAGTAATGGCTACGAGTACCACGTCGCGTACCTCACTTTTCCGAAGTATTTGCTCATTTTTCCTCCCATTTGATTTTCATCATATTCCTCAGAAAGTAAGAAGTCAAAGTGTCTGTTTTTCGGGTGTCAAAGGTCATAAAACTCGTTTATGACAAATTCTGTTTTAGAACCAAATACTCAGAATTTGGCTGGGGCGCTTGTCACGACATAACATGGATAACATAGGGAGTGGGTAAACAAATATTCGGACACGCTGCTGGCGGAATTTTATTCTCGTGATTTTTTTGGTCAGCGTTTTTAAATTATGATGGTTCACGATTTACAGATACTCACTGGACAGAACTGTGCTTCCTCCGATTTGTCTCCTGTTAAGATAGGTTTTCCTTTAGGAGTGCATGGAAATTAAAAGTCTAATTTTAGCCCTAGCTGGTTTGGCTCAGTGGATAGAGTGTTGACCTGCGGACTGAAGGGTCCCAGGTTCAATTCCGGTCAAGGGCACATGCCTGGGTTGCGGGCTCCATCCCCTGTAGGGAACGTTCAGGAGGCAGCTGATCAATGATTCTCATCATTGATGTTTCCATCCCTCTCCCTTCCTCTCTGAAATCAATGAAAGATGTATTTTTTAAAAGTCTAATTTTAAAGCATCCCAGCAATTTAACAGACTTAAAGGCGATTCAGTCTGCCAATATTTATTGAGCAATTACTATGTGCCAGACACTGTTGCAGGAGAGGGTATATAGTAGCCAACAAAATGCTGTACCTTGCGTTTAAAGTCTTATAAAATTCTCAACTAAGTAGAAAATAATAGTTTTGCTATGGTGGATATGACCTCTATTGTAATGGAGCACAGTACACTATAATTAATATATCTTTTTGAAATAAAAAGCATTTCAGGGAGGTACAAATGAGGGTATCAATCAAGTTAGTAACAAACAATGGGGAAGATGATGATGAATTAGAGAAAAATGTACAAGATAAAAATAGCTGAATTTCATGATTGATTGCATGGGAGATAGTCAAAGTACAAAATGACCTCCTTAAATTGATTTGCGAATTAAACACTAATACATATTATACACTCAGGGTGAGGTTCAGCAGCGGTAACAAATGGGTATATTGTTTTTTTCTCTAACATTCTACCGTTGAGATTAGGCTGGACAGACAGCTGTGATTCACACAATCTTGCAGGTAACTGGGTTCTATTCATTTTGTTGATCTACTGCCGGGAGCCGGTCCATGCTTGCTGTTTCAAGGGACCTGGCATATATGGCATACTGTTCTTAATATGTTTGCTCACCTTCTTGGCACTATGTGTTTTAACCAAGGTCTCTGAGAAAGGTTGTTTCCCCAGGTAGGGATTTTCCCCTGAAGTTAGGGAGGGAATAAAACCTCAACTAAGTGCCAGGCGGGTAATTAATCACTTTAACTACGAACAATCATGCTTAAGCTACATAATCTTTACTCCCTGGAATGGAGATAAGAAACGCCCTAACCTTTGTAATAGAGATTGATAGGATTGAATCAACTGGTATAAATACAGATGTAACAAGACAGCAAGACACAGAACTTAGAACACAGAACTTAGAATACAGAGCTTAGAACACAGAACTAAGAAGACAGAACCTACACAGAACCTACAGACAGAAGAACTTCGCTGGAGAGAACATGGCAAAAGATCCTGGACTGAACCTGACTACAGAAATTGGCAAGAGAACCTGACTAGAACCTGGTGACTGAACCTGGCTGGAGAACCTGGACAGAACCTGGCTGAAGAACCTAGCGAGGGAACATGGCTACAGAACCTGGAGAACCTAGCAAGAGAACATGGACACAGAACCTGGCTGGAGATCCTAAGCAGAACCTCTCTGGAGATCCAGACCAGAACTTGGCTGGAGATCCTGGCTGGAGATCCTGGCTGGGCTGCTGATCAGCTGAACGCTGTCTCCGTGTCGTTCCTTCTTTGCCGACTCCGTCCTCACCTATGGGGAACCCCTGGACCTGCTGGGGTTGGACCCCGGCAATCTACCACCACTAGGGTGTTTTCCTAGTTTTAATGGTCAACATCAAGTCCCAACTCTGTTCTTGTTCCATACTGTGGGAAGAGGGAAAGAACAAGTGGAGGGCAAGTAGTATCAACTTTAAGTGTACAAAATAGAATTTGCACATATCATGTCTGCTCATATCCCAGTGGTGAAAACTTAGTACTGTGGCCACACCTAAGTACAAGGGAATATGAGAAACATGGGCTCTAGTGGGGCGGTCAAAACTTGGGACAGGGTGAAGGAGGGCTCTGTTAGTGAAAGGGGGAACAAGAGCAGCCTTGTCATTAGTCAGCCTCTCTAGGGGATTAAGTACTCAGGAGAACCCCACTTCCCACCAAATTCAACCCCTCTCCAGGAAAAACAACTCAAAGTCCCAACAGATTGTGAATCCAGCAAATCGTTTAGGAGCTCTAGGTGACTCTAAGGAAGGAAGGAAAGACTGAATACTAGGGAGGACAATAACTATGTTTCAAATACAAATTTGACATCCTCCCTCTACCCTTCGCACACATAAGCAGATACATTGTTTTGCTTTGGCATAACAAGGTTTAGTCACAACTTTAAACATGCCAAACTTTGGTCTCCACAGTAGTAAAACGAGTCATAAAAATAATGCAATTTGCATCAGCTATACAATGCTTATGGAGACCGAATATAATTTTACAAGGGAATGCAAACAAGATAAAAAGAATGATGGTAATGCTTAAAAGAAAAACCCTAAATATCTCTGTATAAAGTTGATTTAAAATATAACAGTATATATGTTTTCTTGTAGGCAATTCATATAATAAAGGATTATAAAAACAGATTAGGCCCTGGCTGGGTGGCTCAGTTGGTTGGAGAATCATCCTATACACCAAAATGTTGAGGGTTCGATTCCCAGTTAGAACACATGCCTAGTTTTCAGATTCAGTCCCCTGTGGGGGTATCTAGGGAAGGCAACTGATTGATGTCTCTCTCTCAAGTCAATAAAAACATTTTAAAAAACCAGATTAGCCAACAACTTCACATTTTAAAAACTGGACTCAAATAATACTAAATGCAGAGATTAATAATTAAAAAGGTTTAAATCTGTGATCTAAAGGAAGCCTTTAACATGGAATATTGTATTTATGAAGCCATTTTACTGGTTCATACTAACTCTGTTCAGTTTGCCTTAACCTAACTAGGTATTAGTTTTACATATTTTTTAATTCTAAAGCATCAAATTTCTAATGATAAATTTTCTGAGAATAAAATGATTAAAATAAACTTTTGAATAAAAATATCAACATACTTAAGTGGCTTAAAAGTCAGCTTTCCACACATTATTGAAAGATTTGAATTTTGCTTTTTTTTTTTTATTATCCCAGCAAATGTTACACTAGATAAAATGATTGGGGAAATACAAATAGGTTCATTAAAAACACAGGCTGATTATTCATATCTACTACATTCAAAAGTATGCAAAACAATTTATATTGCAAAGCTGTAATTCCTTTTCCTAACAAAGCTTTATTTTATAAAATTGTAGTGTTGTACTGATTCAATTTTAATACAAAATACTTATATACACAATACAATATAAAAGTAAACTGTGGTACAGTGCCTTCCACGAAGGGATATATTAAGGCGCTTTACAAATATACTAATAGGTTGACCCACATTACTTTTTTAGATTAAAACAAATAGGCTATTGTTTCACTTTAAATACCAAATGGATTTTTATTTTTGTTTATTAAAGAAATTGTCTAAAGTACCTTAGGTAACAGCAGCAGCAATATCTAAAAATCCTCCCACTGTATTTTCTAGTTACTAACATATTATTAAGTCAGAATAAAACATTTCCACTCACAGTTTTGCACTTTGCAACAGCAGAAGGTAATCACTTTTTTAAAAAGTCAATCTCAAAGTGACTTCTTAGTCATACATTCTATAGTTTCTATTACAAATAAGGTAGAAAAGATACAGCAATAGGGCCCGCCTTAGGATGTCACTGAACAATACATAACAGTATCTACAATTACATAATTATAGAACACTTTATAAATACTATTGATATGCATAAAAGGGTAAGTATAACAAAAACAGTAAGATTTTAACGAGTGGGAAAATTTTTAAAAAAGAAAACATGTATAACCAATGTTTTCACTCCATTTCAATTGAAGGCATATAGAATTTTGTTCTCATCTTTTTGGTCAGGAAGCACCAGATTCTATACTGGAAGAACTGGATATAGTTTGGGAATAAGATAGCTAATCAGTATATCCAAACTATTAAAAGTACAGATACTAAAGGCTTGTACATGGCTTCGGATAAACACAAAAAGTTTATTCTGTCAGGAAATTTCAAAAGAATATAAAATTTGTAGTGTCTGTTACATTTGAGAAATGAGGGCAAAACAGATTTTGTGGGGAAAGAGAGGAAGGAGACAGCACCTTAGTTTTTCTATTACAGAAATTTAACAAAGTTGGTTTTATACTGTATTACACCATAGTAAAACAACTAAATGGAAACTTAAATGTGACTGAGAAAGCCCAAGAGCAAGAGGGATGTCTTAAAATTTTGAGTAGTGAGCTAAAAATTCTTGAACTAGTTTGTTTTTATAGAACTAATCAAATGTTCCATGAAATGCAGACCGCCATCTCATAGTGCATTTTCTTACGACTGTCTGATTAGAAGTCCTTCGCAAGTATTTCTATATCAAGTCTGTAGAGCCAACC